GAGAAGGAGAAGGAGAAGGAGAAGGAGAAGGAGAAGGAGAAGGAGAAGGAGAAGAAGAAGAGGCTTTGCTGACAGTTCAGAATGCTTTGGAATCATTGCCTACAGGAAAGAATAATCATTAACAGCAGTATTTATGATTTGAAGTTAGATATATTATACAAAATTCCACCTGCAGCAGTATGTGTAAAATGTTATTGTCTAAAATCCAAAAGCAGAAAGGGAGCCAAGTCCATCTGTAGTGTAACAGCTAAGCCTCTAGGAGGAAAGGCTGGGATCTCAAATCTCTTCATGAATCCTTCTGGATTTTTGCTACCTCTCTCCCATTTTGAGGTAGCAGCCTGATAGTTCCTACTGCCACCATCTCTCCTCCAGAGAGTGCTTCATCTGGTGTTCTCCTAATTTCAGTGTGTGTGAGAGATAAAGATCTCAGGAATTGGTGTAATGCAGTCTCCTGATCATGTAGCTTAAAAGCATGTGGCTAGAGGTTTCAGCCCTTTTTGGAAGGTAGCCTAATCTCACAAGAGATGGACAAAATCAAATTTATATTTAGGGGAAAAAAACCAACATAAAATATATGAAGCCTATTTTATTGTAAAATAAATTTACAATGCAAATGCAATGTTGCTCACAAGAAGTCAATAAAGAGATAAGTAAATCTTCTTGGACACAGACTGAGTTAGGAATAAAAAGGCTGAGATGACACACAAATCTGTATTATTCCTCTGAGAGAGAGGAATAAGAAGAGGGAATAAGGAATAAGGGCAAGGAATAAGAACAAAAGACAATAAAGCTGGCACCACCCAGAAAATGAATATTCTGGGCTAGACTTACCTATCTTTACAAAGATGATTTTCTGCAGCAAAAGTTCCTCTATTTTCCCTTAGATTCCTAGAAAGTTCCAGCTTCAATCAGAAGCTATTTGAGGGTGATGGTCAGCTGTTTTCATTCCACCCTAGGTCCATAGTTTCTTCCTTGGTTTCCTCTTGAAGATATGTTCATATTTTAAAAGGACTTAGCTCCGATTGGGAGGAGCTGAAGGAATTTGATTTTTGTGTACATGACAGAGGCCACCTCTACTCAGGAAATGTATATCCAGATTGAGAAGCTGGCTGGCATGTCAGCTGATGTGAACTGGCCAGCTGTGAATATGAGGGTTTGCAGCCTCCATACTCACAACAGCATGTCAAAACTCAGCTTGCAGTCACTGTTTTTTCATGCTCCATTTGATAACTTCCCTAAATTTATTTATTTATTTATTTATATCTATCTATCTATCTATCTATCTATCTATCTATCTATCTATCTATCTATCTATCTATCCAGCTGATATATCTACCACTTTTCAATAAAATCCAATGCCTGTGTTTTATGTTGTGATTTATGGACTATGGATATTCACAAGATTGCTGATCTAATGATGGTAGAGGAATGGGGAATGGGAAGATAACCCCTGGATACAAGCTAGTTAAATAACAAGCTAGTTAATGTGGTTAGCATGATAGTCTTTCAGTATTACCTTTTGTTTTGGTGCTGAATTATCTGCTTTTTGTGTTTTACCATACCAACATTCAGCCTGTTGAGCATGTCAAGCTTGTGTGTTTGAAGCTGATAAACAATATATTTATTTCACGAACAATAATTATGTTTAACATCTTTCAGCTCCAAGGTTGCCTACATGGACACAGACTGGTACCTTGAAAGAAGAGATGTTGTTGACAAAGCAGCCAATATTGCTGAAGACTGGAAGAGGAGAAGGACTAGAGCTTCCGCTGGTACAAACCTCCTTGTGGCTGAAGACCAATGCCTCCAATGAATCTGGTCCTTCATCTGCTAAAACAATGTTGGCAAGGTCTTCTCCTTCTATAGAAAGCTACAGCACTTCATCAAGATTTCTGCCATCTCATAGTGAGTTCTAAAGCTTCAAAGGGTATATATCTGTGTAGTATGAATATGATGATTTCAACCAATCAGTCATAGTTTTCTCCAAGCATCACTGCCTCTGTGGAGCATGACATTTATTTTAACTGATTTTAGTTGCTTAAGAGGATTTTTATCCCATGCTTCAATTTTTCTAAGTTTTTCCAAATTGTGTGTCAGTATCTCCAAACTGGCTGGCAAGGTCATCTCAAGTTTAGAGATCGTAGCTTGCATGAACTACCATGAGCATGAGTTAAAACTGGGCTTGGTTGTTTGGTTGTGGTTTACTGGCCAAAATGTGCCAGAACTAACACAGTCTATACCTTCTCTATCTTAGTAATAAGTAGAATGAGAAATTGAGCAAAGTCATGATGGATGGCAGAGGTCGATGTCTGTGGGCTCATCTGGTGATGCCCACGGCTTACAAAAAATTGCAACTTGGAATGTAAGAGGAGTAAATGATAAAGCGTATGTATTGACGAAGGAAAGAAAAAGAGAAAAATTATCTTGTGACACTAAGTAAAAGGGGAGAGATATAATAGATCTGAATGAAGGTGGTCTGATCCTGTAGAGCTGAGTTAGACAATACTGGCAGGGAAGTGAATGTGTATGTTTAATTGTGATATGACCATGCATCCAAACAAATGTGCCCCTTTCCCCCCCTGAAAGTTATGGGAAGACAAAAGCAAACCACATTTTACTCTAGAAGATGCAGGCCACTAAAGATAGATCACAAATGTTCCATTAGGAACTCTGTTTATGCATGCTTTTCTTTTCTTTTTTCCCCAGCTCCAAAGATACCTTTACAAGCTGGGACCATTGTTGTGAAAGAGGATGAAACAGTCCCACCACAGTTCACAACATGGCAAAACACTGCTAGCTTGAAAAGTTCTGCAAGTCCTTCAATCCAGATCTCATCTTGGCTGCAGACAAATGCTTCAATGGGATGGGAAATTTCTCCTACCCAACCAGCTCTATCCTCTCTTCCTTTGGTCCACTCGGACTTTCTGTCTAGGACCCAACCAGTGCCAAGTGAGCATTCAAAGTGTGGGAAAGGGTGTGCTCTTGAGCAAGACTTTTGTTTTAAATTGAGAATGGGCTCTTTTTTTTAAACTTAAGAAACATTTGGGAAAAAATTGTCATTGTTTTTCTTGGCCAGTTTTTTATCATTAGTTTTGGAAATAACAGAGGAGTCTCTCTCCTTTGTGACTGAGAACAACAGTAGAAGGGACTTAATGGTCTAGTTTATTGTTCACATATTCACCATTCACAATTCCATTGTGTAACTGCATTAAAATAAGGAATAGTTGGTTCAATTAACCTTGATTTAGTATCTAGTCTAAACTAGATCCACAACTTGTAGAATTAGATTTAATGGTTTGAACATATATAGTCTCAATCGTATCTGAGGCTAACCATAGTTTATCTGGTTGGGAGAATAAATTGTGGTTATTAGAAATGTAAGCGTCAAGACTCTGCCTCTCAGCTGTTTCATGGGATGGTAGAAATATATTTCCAGATATTCAACATTTCCACTCTCTTGTTCACTGCCAAGTTTCCCAAGTCTCGTCTCGTCTCGCCCCTTCCCTTCCCTTCCCTTCCCTTCCCTTCCCTTCCCTTCCCTTCCCTTCCCTTCCCT